AAATTGGATTAGCTTAACACACCTTGAAAAAATGTATAGTAAAAATGTACATGATTGTAACACTGCTTAGTATAGTTTATATAGAAAATTGCTACAATTTTTCCATTTTTTGAGAAATTTCAATAAACAATTTTTTTATAAGAGCTAATAATAGCAACAAAATATTTTTAAAAATGTATCTGCTTCGCTTATCAAAATTACGAGTTCGTATGACGGTTGAAGTGATGGTATTTTATTTATTTATCTACAAAATAGATCGGCGAGATCATACGACTGTTCATCGGCAAGCTTTTCCACTTGCAGTGGCAATATTTAAAAACAATGCACTTGATTACGTTCGATTTTCAGTTCAAGAGCCGTGAAACTTTTCTGCTAGATTAAGTTGGTAGATGCAATATATTCAATGGTACTCACGTTTTTTTTTATGAGGGGTATCGTGGTCGAAAAGGACGACGTCTTTGCTGAAGAACTGGCATTGTTTCATTCTCGCATACCCTCTGACTCTTAAAGAAGTTGATTGTAATAACCCTGCATTAGTGAACTTCAGAGCCGAGAAGTCTGTCAAAACTGAAGCACACATCGACGCTATTTCATGTTAGACAGTTTACTCCTTGATTTGGATATTTTGCCACATCTGAAAAAGTAAAAAAAAAAATCAAAAACTTCACTAATAGGATCAAACGACGTTGGTTCTGTGATAATATTTTATTTATACTAAATTTTAGCCATATATCGTAACAAGAACTCTTAATGGATCTAATAATACGAAAATGTCCTTTATTTATATTTCCTGTACCACAATAAAAAAAATTCATATGGAGAAAACCATATCTCGTTATCAGTAATATACCTTTTTAGTCAATACTGTACTCTATTAAGTATTCCTCGTTAAAATTGTTGTAAATATAGGTTTTTCCATTGGAAATTAAATTGATAATTTCATTGATTTAATGATAGAAATGAACTGAGAAATATTGCTGAATAATCATACAGATCAATCGATCTTCTGTTCTTTTTGAAATCCTCAATATACCTTTGACACTCCCATTACCGCAGCTCCTATTACTGATCTACTACATTTATTTACCTAACTTTTTAAATTTTTGTTTTCGCTTCCTCTTTACTCTGATCTATAACACCTTGTTTAATAACACGAAAAGTTGTGGACACTGGAACTTTAGTTAATATGTGAGTTCTATTTATAATTTCATTATATGATTTTTCAATTTCTTCCTTTTTTAAACAATATTAAATATTTAAAATGAGACGTTGACATTGACCTGTAAATCTTTATTTTCAAATTCTAATTCTGTTTCTTCAACAATCGGTTCTACTAATTCAAAATTGTCTGGCGGTATGTCGTTTTGTTCCGTTTCAAACGGTCTCCAAAATGCCATGTAATAATATTAGTAGACAAAATATCCCTCTTATTTCTCGCTTTCGCAATTGTAATATGAATGGTAATAGAAGGTGCCTATAATAAATTAAAATTATCTGAATCACACCAAATTTCGCATTGCTGCACTGCACTGCAATTTGTCGACAACTGAAATTTATGGCCGGTCGCCCAGTACGGCTGTGTGTGCGGGGTTTGCCCGCGCGCGCATTCTTCAACTGGGCGACCAGACCTGTATATGGGTATGGCTAAATAAATATGGGAACAAATAATAGCAATATTTAAAACTCTGCCTGAAAATGTGGTTTTATGTACCAGGACCCTTTGATTTAATATAAATAATATCTATTGAAAGAAATATGGGTTAAATATAGACATAAATATATTAGCAGTTTTCTCCCTGTACAATTTTCGTTTTTGTAAAATTAAAAAATTTAAATGTAAACTAAAATAATACAAAAATTCACAACGTACTTCGTTTTGGAAAATAACCAATTTTTGTGTCGAGGTTGAATAGTTTTCTGTCAGTTACATTCTTGCTTAAAAATTCCGTATTGATGTTTCTTTTATTTTTAACTGCGCGCACGCCGAGCCTATTGTTGCTTTTTTTACAACGTCTATGCATGTGCAGATAAAACTAAAGTATTTAATATTTAAATAGATTCATAAGATGTCCATTGTATTTGGTCATTCATCCTTAAATTGACATTCAAAAATTTTAACGTTACAAGTTTAACATGCGAATCTCATTTTAAAACAGAGCAGCTGGGTTTTTTTTGTATTTGATTCTGTAACTAAGTAATTTTTTGTACTGGTACATTTTTCATCCAGATCTGTAACAGAAACGTTTTAAAGGAGGAAGTTTTTCGAATGAATCGTATTTATGGTGTAGCTTCAATTTTAAGCATTTCCTGATTCAAAGTATGTTTGTATTGCACTCCTTAAAACCCCACGGATACACCTATGAAAAAAACCGTACCGTCGTACTTGGATAATTGAACAGATGCACAACTATTTCTAATACAAATAATCTAATTTCATTGCTGACCGTTATTCCATCTAGATTTCTATCAAGCATTGTTTAGTTAATGATGCTATTTCTGTGTTAATTAGTTAATATATTGGTTTCAATTGAATATAGCGATGCCAGTGGTGGTTAATATTCAAAAGACGCATGCTCCTCTAACGTCACGGACAATTTCACGCTTCCTTAACGGCGTTTCCTTCTTTTGCTGTATGTCAGAAATAGCGATTTCCGAGTTTTAACGACGGTGTCACAAGATAAAAGTTACAGAAGAGTTAAATACAGCATACGTACACGTACACTGTACAATACAACAAAAAATGTTACACACACCCTGTGTTTCGATTTACAGAAATATGTTTTTCAAATGGATTATTATTTTAATAACTATTGACTTACCACAAAAATACGATTAAACATTTTTGGAACCGCTAATTCCATCGATAACTCTGCTTATATTAAGTATTTACACAAAGTTGCCCAGGTAGCTTACAGTTTTCATCAGCGGTTCCATATATTATCACTATGTCCATTGATTCATTGTTACTGTACTAACGAGTTATTTTAATATGTTTATTCGCACTTATTAATTAATACCCACATTTCAATCTTTTCACAAAAAGAAAACATGGTCAAAAAAATAAATGCCTTTAGTTAAACATTTGTTCACTTGTTTTGGTTGAAACTGAAATTTTTAATTCCTATTTAGATCATACTTCAACAATGTTTCTATGTAAATTAGTATTATTATTATTATTTGTGTATATGTGAAACAATTTTGCCGAAATGGTGGAATGAACTAAATAATCTAGTTCAGAACTGTAACAAAATTTTTAATTCTTATTTAGATCATAGTTCAACAATGTTTCTATTATCTTACAATAGAATAAAATTATGTACTGTATTATTATTATTNTTATTATTAGTATTATTATTATTATTATTATTGTTATTATTAACTGTGTATATGTGAAATAATTATGCTGAAATAGTGGAAAGAACAGAAAAATCTAGTTCGAAATCGTAGCAAAATTTTTAATTCCTATTTAGATCATACTTCAACAGTGTTTCTAAGTAAGATATGTATAAAATTATGTATTATTATTATTATTATTATTATTATTATTAATTGTGTATATGTGAAATAATTATACTGAAATAGTGAAAGAACAGAAAAATCTAGTTCGAAGCTGTAGCAAAATTTTTAATTCTATTTAAATCATATTGCAACAATGTTTCTATGTAAGAAATGTTCATAATTATGTATTATTATTAATTGTGTAGATGTGAAATAATTATGCCGAAATAGTGGAAAGAACAGAAAAATTTAATTCGAAACTGTAGCAAAATATTTAGTTCTAGCCTACCTACAGTCAAATTAAAAAATCTTCCAGCACTAATAGTTTCTGCAAGTAAATATAGTTCTGTCGCCTAAATTGTCCACGGCAACAATTATTCATATTTTTTTTTATGTATATATACACTGTACATATGATTATTAGAATTTTTGTGTAGTATGAGTACGTTGTTTGAACAAGGCGGTGTCGAAGGAAAGTCGTCGAGATATGTTTTTAAAACTGAGATCGGATCAAATTTGAGTAGGGTTCACCATTTAATAAAAACAAAACATTCGGTTGAAGGTGTGAACAGATATTCGCATCCGTCATGTTCTTTAAATTAAATTTTATATTATGATGCAGACCGAAAGTAATAAATTTGCCCATAGGTACATTTATTTACTCCTAGGTATATTCTTGACATGAAAAACACCATTGTTTCGATGATTTGTGAAGTAAACTGTGATTATGTATTTTTACAACAGATATTTTCATAAATTATTAAAATCCATTTCCCAGTTTTTTAAATTACATATATATTACATATTATTTGGGTTATGTTTTTGTTTAATTTTCTCGAGAGTACAATTCAGATAAATTTATATATTTAAGGCAAAAATAAGGAAATGTGAATAAATATAATATACAAGGTGTTAACGAAATAAGTATTCAAAATTGGAGAGTATGTAAAACATATCGAAATATCATGAAAACCTTAGTAGAGTTTTTGTCAGTGGTGGTCCTTAAGGGAGATACAGCCCCTTGAAGGGGTAACTCAGGAATCAGTTTTTATTGCATAACTTCAAGACGGTTTAATATTAACTCGCGAAATTTTAGGATTGTATTACTATTTATAGGCTTAATAATCGACATAATATACAAATCAAAATTTGCTACAGGGGCGTAAGAAAATGCGGAACCATGGGTCAAATTTTACAATTTTTTCCTGAACCGAAATTATGAAAATTTATCATATTTTGCATAAAAAAGGTACTCTTGTTAGATTTTAATAGCATGAGCTATATGAGTTTTCTAGTAAAATCCATTTCAATAATTCATTACGTGCTCAAAATTCCTGCTGAAAATAAATGTATCACATTAATTAAAAAAATTAATTAAAAATAATAATATACAACCCCTCCCCCACACAATTCTGCCAGTATGCACTAAGAATGGAATTTAATGCGTGAATGATAATGTTGGGCGTTTGGATAATATTTTGAATTGAATATTTTTTTTTCAGGAGAGTATGTGATAAAAGGAGAATTAGACGAAACCCTTTCTGGAGCGGATTGCGGCTCCTCATGTGATTTGCCACTAGGAGATCTTTCCCTGCCCCTTCCAGAATTCCTTTTAGACGAAGCTCTTCGTCTCGTTGATCTCGATGATGAAACGTCTCAGGTAAGTAAATATTTTTATAAATAATTTATTAAACATACTGCAAAACTCACAATAAGTTTCGAATTTTGATCTTCAAAACCTCCAATATTATTTTCATCTTAAGTAAAGTACTAGCTTACTACAACTTTGCAGGTTCTTTGGAACAATTTTATTTAATATTTGGTATATTCTAATGTTTAGAATGTATTTTCTTATATTGTTAATTTGATTAGATGTCACGTCAAAATATTTACTCTAACATCAAAACAATTAGTCCAAACCAAATTTCTGAGATGTCCAAACATAAATTGAATGAAGTAGCTTTTTTTCAACTTATATATGCATTGGATTTATCTATTCTAAACAATTGGCATCAAAAGGAAGAAAGTCGATTTAAGCTGCCAAAAACGCATTGAGGAACATGGGGATTTACTTGGGGACTATGAGGATGTTCTACAGTTTCTTGGGGATTTACGAGGACGTACCGAGATGTACCAGGAATTTATTGGAATTTAGAAAGGTGTACAGGATTTATTGGGGATTTACCGGAGATGTACTTGATTAGTGCATGCGCGTTGCGTTCATTTATTATTGCAGTGCTTTACAGGTGAGCCCTTAAAAGTTTTTAGATATTTCCGAAACTGTTCAAAAAAAGAAAATTTAACGACGACGAATTTAGTAAGACCACAATATTGTATCCGTGATTGTTTTTGAAACATTTTCTGCGTATTATTTTTACAGTATGAGATATTTCTTGTTTTTAATTCATTCATTAAATTAAAAAGATGATAAATACACAGACACGACACTTTTATTTAAGCAACTTAACACAATTTTACAACATATTTTATTGACTTCCGGTAATCTGCCGACCCAATGTATATTTCCACGAGCCGCCACTGAATGTTATTTTATCTTGAACAATTTCGGAGGTATCTGGAGAAAACAACTTTCAGGGACTCACTTTTAACGGACTGTAGCCACTTATCCGCCAGTTAAGTGTAATCGGGGCTCTCTATCGTTGAGCCCAAAATGAACATTATTTTAGAAATTGCTGTAATAAAAGACGTGTTTACTGTTCTTTTCAACCTAATTGGACAAAGGTTTTGAAAATTTTTAAACTGACCGCTGTAGAGACAAAAAACCAGGATAACAAAAAAAGAACTAAAGAAAACAACATTTGCTCAAGGCCCGGTTGACTCGTCTCTATATTTAGATCTTCCCTTCTTAATGAAAAACGCGGTATGTTAAACTATTTATTGTACATTGAAGAAAGTGTGTTGACCTTCCGGTTTATTGATCTATCATTCACGATCGCGCACACCAAAATGCAATAAAAAATTAAGTGGTTTTTGTGTTTTTTCATTGCAGGACACCACTATAAACCTAAAAGATTTAGAAAATCTTTCTTTGGGCGCTACATCGGTAAAATCTGCCAACACTTCCGCTATTTCACCTTCAGCAGCCGCTGAAGCTGAATCTTCAAGCCAAGCTGATGGTGTACCATCTTCCCCTGAGGCAGCATCGGTCGCAAAGGACACCGAAGACGAGCTAAGCTTATTCGCAGACATGATTCAAACACCGCAGTTCCACCACCCTCATCACAGGGCCGCCTTCCAAGTAAGTAGCTACCAATGTCGCCAGTACTGCCAATGGCAAACTGAAGGTTTTCCTTTCAAGCACTCTGAATTCTAACGTAGAGTACTAGAAAAATCTAAATACTTGTGCATCAAGTTTGATTTCAGTTTGTTCATTATTTTGAAATATTGCGAGTTCTTCGTAACAAATGAAACGCTACCCCAAAATGGGGTAGTTTTCTTCAACTGCAAAGAAAATGGAAGTGTAGAATTATATAAAGCGTTTTCCGCTAGAGGTCGCTACGGTCTCTTCGATAATTGACAGAACCATAATTGCCAGATTGAGTTATTTGAAACAAATTAGATTCGTCTGAAGAAGATACTTGTAAAAGTAATTTCGACACTTAAAATACCAATTAAAATTTGAAACCTTTGATAACTAACTGAATTAATATTTATGGGTCCGACGATATTGGCCAAAATAACTTTTTTAATTTATGTGCCAGTAACTACTAATATCTATCAATTTAGTGGATGAATCTGGCAACACGAAGCAATTACTCGTAAAGCAGTGATGCCACTGCAATTTTCTTGGAAGAAGAGAAAAACAAACTCAAATAAATTACATACCAAGAAAAATAGTAGAAAATTTTCAATTTTCAACCATAACTAAAAAAATATAGATATAGTAGGCTAATAACGATGTTAATTCGTATATTCCTGTAGTTTTAACAACGCAGTTCACGGTATAAAAATATAATCATATTTGCAGTGAAAATTAATCCCTAAACAGACAATTTCAAACATAAAGAATCACCAAATGATGCGGTAACCACATCAGTTGTTGTCATGGATGAATTGCTGCAGGTTAATTTATAGGAGATCCGGTTACCTCGTCTACTTCCAAATACGTGGACTTTAAATTAACACGTTTTTGTGTTTTATATAAGCCGTCGCAAAAAACGTGATACTTTGTATCAGACTTTGCAGCGAAAAGAAAAGTATCTTCTTAATGGCCTTTTTCACTAACCTCCATTTGACATTTAATTGGTAATCAGTAAATACACATCATTAGAGAGTATATATTTTTATTTCCCGCTAGACAGAACCAACCAGATAAAAAACGGACTTAAGTATAGCTAAATTGTCGTAATTACATTAATAAGCGAATTATATTGATATTACACTATTTTGTTCTTGTTAACTGATTGGATATTGCAGTTAGAGGAACGTAACGTAATTTTGTTACGATTTTCCTTCTTAAAAAATAGGATAATAAGACAAAAGTGGGGAATTTAATGTTTTACGAATGTTTCCAAATCTTCCATATTCTGCACAGTTTCCCTGTTCTACCTCTTGCATTAACTTAGCCACCAACGCTGATACATCAAATTTGGAACACACCTGTATCTCGGTGTTAAGTAAAAAAATGTTATTATCTTTTGCGCGTACAATTGGTGCAGTAGCGGTTTGGAATTTAAATTGTTATTAGACAAAAAATGTTGAGCTCTAGAGATTTTTTTGCAGTGCAGTTGTGCGTAATACTGGTAATTAGTTAATTGAATTGAGAATGTATCTAATTGAAAGGTAAATATTTATCTTTTAATGTAGAGATCTCTATGTAAATAGTAATGGATTATTTATTAAGAGAAATATATTTGTAAAAGATGGTCATTTATGTATTTCTTCTACAAACGATCTTAAATTGCCAAATATTTTACACAGTAACGTGAAAAATAACTTGTTTTCATTTTAATATGTCACATTGAAAAAATGAAATACTTTATAGACTATTGCATAAAATATAACATACATTAGTCGGTGTTGTTTAAATTTGTAGGCAGCCCGCGTGTTCGGTTCCGTTTTTCACTCATAGAACTATCGCACGAGCTATTTCTAACTATTTCCATCTACTTTCTCCAGCACGTATTCCAAAGAAGGATAAAGTCCTGGTTCGGGTAATCTTGACCTTGGTCATGTCACAAAAAATCTAGAGTAATCGATTTGAAATGTTAATAATTTCAGAATCAGTAGCCAAGTAGAAAATTATTTTATTGTGGTCTTGTTTTAACTTTTGTTTTATTAAGATTTGTGGTTCTTCCAAGGTCGCCTAATTGGACGCCTTTCCAATTCGTTCTCTGCAGATATTTACTTTGATTCGATAAAATGTAGACGAGTATATATCAACAATTGATTGAGAAACTGAAGGTTGTATGCTAATATGATTTTAGACTATATATATTTATGTTTTCAATATTTTGAAAGTTCTAAAGAAATATATTTGGTCGAACATTTACCAGCTATAAATAGCAGCTTTACAGGGGGGTGGAATATTGTCTGTAATTATTTATTTGCGCAAATTAGTACCTTTTATTTAATTGCGAATCATTCGATCATCGCTTTCGTTTTTAGACACTAGTGCGTACACACGGAAAAAAGTAATATTTTACGCAATTGTAGCACTATCGACTGTAATTTATATTGAGAACTACAATTTGTGTCAAACTTTACCAACAATTAATTATTATTAAATAAATAAATTAATTTTTTTCTTTCTACTTGCTTTCTACTATAAACACACAAATTTCGAATAGTGTAAACATGTATTGCGTCTCGTGACTATTTTTATTAAAAAATACAAGCAGAAACTTAATATTTTAAAAAATCCTTTGCAGTACACTCTTTGCTGTTCATATGGTTATTATTCACGGTTTCGAAAAATAATACAAACAAGTGTAAGGTTATAAATTATACATGAGGTCTCTACAGGTTACACTGTGGTTTGCCTAATTGTGTCCTGAAAGAAAACACTTAACTGCACAGGTAGAAGCTAAGACTTTTGTCACAGTGGGTCTCCTGATTTCAAAAGATATACATTCTCACGAAAAGCTACCCCTAGATAAACATTGAGGCAGCATTCTGGCCCCAACTGAACTATTATGTCATGTCAATTGCAGAAGATCAAGAGATTATTGAGATTTTGTCCTTTGTTTTCTTTTGATAATCAGGTTTATTTTCCATAATCAAAATATTTATCCAACAGTAACTGTTTGAGATATTTTGATTTTCAATAAAGAAAAAAATGTAATGTAAAATTATGCACATTCATTGTTAAAAAAATGTGTACTTATTTTATTAACAATGATACAAGAAGCTAATTTTTTTAAATGTACGTATGTACTATTAAAAATGCCTTAGAAATATATAGGGTTCAAAAGAATCCTGTTAATGTGCCTGCTCCGTTCGTAAAATCCTAACCTAACTTTTTCGCACTAGTGCGTAAAGCAAATATTTTACACGCCGTTTTTAGAGAATAATTATTAAATAGTTTAGTATAATAGTAATAATTTAGTGTAATAGTAGTAGTAGTCGGTGAATACGATGCGTTTCTTTTGTGGAATTTATTTCAACTTATTACAGAGTCGAATGCCGTTTGTCCGGACAGTGAGCATGGAACAAAGATGGCAGGACTTGGCTAATTTATTAAGTCTTCCGAGTCCGGCGGACAGTAGTGGCATCCATCACCCGTTCAGCCATCACCATCCTGCTCTTCATAATTATAGTCACCCTCACCCTCACGGAATGAGCTACAGTGCCGAGACAGCCAGAGGCGTGCTTCTACATAACGCTACTTTAACTCCCCCTATGGGAGATATAAACGCAACTGTGCCATATAGTAATTTAGGTAAGTAATACCATTGTTTAAATACTCTATATTTATTTAAATAACTCTCCCGGAGCTAGTATCATTTAAATGAGGTATAATAGAACAATTAAATAAATGGGCTCATTATGCATGAGCCATCTACAAGACGAGTTCAGAACTAACCACATTAGTGAATGAATATATTCAAAGATAATAACTCAAAATTTATTTTGCAGGTGGCACTAATCTTGGTAGTGCCGTAGCAACGTCGATGAACCTCACCAATAGTAGCGAACCGATGGGTGAACCCAGCACCGCACCACATTACAAGCTGGAACCTTCTCATGATGTAGTATATTATCAGGTAAGAAGAATAGCTGCAGTGCGAAAATAGTAGGCAGTAGAGTCATAAATAAATTAAATGGCAGTTTTTACTATTTCATGATTTGCTAAACTAACGCATCTTCTCTATATGGAAATTTCAATGTAGCCTTCATTTCGCATGACATTAATATATTCACCCAGCGCTTGCGTTTTTTATTAGAATCGCCTAATATAATCGTCTTTGATTATATCGTGTGCAAGAGGCTGTATAGTTTGACTTTTTGGAATCCCGTCCTGTCTCGGTTTTCAGCTGAGAGGCTGAGGTGTGTTCATTCGTGTCATAGGCGTGTGATAGTGGCAAAAAGCAAAGTGAAAGCAATAAAAAAAATTGAAAGTGACAATTGTTAAATATGTGATTCGTAAGAAGATTCACGGTTTTATGTTAAAAATGAACTTCCAACATTAGAAAAAAATTAAATTGCAATGGCAGAAGCTCAAGATTGAATTGAATTATCGATACTTAAAATGAAACCGAAAAAGTATGCTGATAGTAAGGAACAAAATTGTAGAACGGCGAAAAATTATTCAGAAGAAAGAATATAAGCAGATAAGAAGCATTTATAGAAGGATTTTTCTTGGACTAAAAGCACCCTCTGGTAAATGGTGGCGATTTTACACGTATCGGAAGTGAATCCGAATTTTTGGATAATGGTTTACACGTGTTCAAGTCGCGAGGAACAAATTACCGTGGAGATATGGACAGTGAGATACATATTTGAAAAATGATTTGTATCTATTTTCGAAAACCTGGTGCAATGATTGTAATGGATAACGCCTTCCCATAACAAAAAAGCCACTAACATCTGCTTAGAGAAAAGGATAAATCAACAATGGTCGAATGGAAAACATTGAATATATAGACACGATGTTAAAATTATTAGCAATTGCACAAAACGCTAAATACATAAAATATGTAGTGGCTAGCGCTCACTACAACTTGCTTATAGCTATGTCTCATAATAAAAAAAGAAAAAAATTTACGCAGGTGGTAGCAAGTAATCTTTGCCTGCGAGGGCAGAATTGCTGAATACATATTTCAGTATAAATAAAAAAGTGCCTATCTGTTGGATATTTGGATATAGCGAGGTAAGTCTACGTTTGTAGAATAATCTGGTTATTTTGTCAGTTTTCGTAATAACATTTAATAATTTTTGGAACCTTCTGAACTGATACGCCCATGGAGCCGCGTTTCCCACACGCCTTAAGGTAAGCGTCCACTAGGAACGGGCTAGATTGAAACATTGCATACCGCCTGTGTTAATTGGTATGGGACCGCCTCGTTGCGACCCACCGCGCCAGTAGAGGACGATATTCTGTAAAAACATAAATGTGAGGCGAATTTCTGTTTTGCTATGCGCCCCGCCTGGTGGACGCTTGCCTTTACTCGTCGCAAGGGTCTATTTGTGGAGAATGAGTCACTTCCCACTATTTTGCCACTGAAGTATACAGCTAAGAGAGGGCGTCATACAGTTAAGAGAGGGCGCCACCAGTTTCTTGAACGCTGCCAATACACCAAACGTAAAACGGCAAAAGAGATATGCAGTAAATATACTTTTTTATTCAAATTTGTGAAAATTAAAATTTGTTATAGAAATTTACGATTTTCTTAATTAAAACATAAATCAACTATAGCGTAACCATTGTTATTGGTTGATTTAGTTTCTAAGAAATATTTTTAATATACTTGAATTTGAAACTATATAAAAACTTACCTAAATAAAATTATAACATTTTACAAGACAAATGTCCTCTCAAATAATTTATAATTAATTATCATATTTCATTTTATCGAAAAGTATGTAAAACAAACATTATTGCGTAAAATATATAAATTGTATAAATAATATTCCTTCTCTCTCTCTAGCCTTTATGACCAAAATTTCATTTTTGGTAAAGCCACCCCATTTTTTAGATAGAAACGGGGTTCAGTTGGTAGAAACCGGCGATCTGATGTTTGCCAACTTTTCTCATATTACCGTAAAAGGAAATAATGTAAAAAATTTGACCCGCATTTTTTTAATTTCCGCGTGAAATCATTATTTAGCTGGCAGTTTAAGAAAAAAATACAAAAGTGAAACAAATTTGCGGACAGTCGCGACAGGCTAGACTATGCCTTAATTGTCCCGTGCAAGGGCGTCGCCAAGGGGAGGCAGGGGGGTGCAGCTGAAACTAGGGATCATTTTTTATAAATAGGGTAGATAGGCAGTGAATTTACTGTTTTCTATACTGTGACATTGCCATGAACAAAAGAAATTGATGAATTGTATGCATCACTTTTAGTTCACCGGTTCAGTGTTGCGAATATATTAATAAGTAACTTTATTTAATAATAATGAAAACATGGCAAAAATTTTAATTGAACAGTAAATGTAGAGATATAATAAGATAAATTATAATTCTATGTATAACAATAATATCGAATGATTACACTATTATTAAAAAGGAGTTCAACTACTCAAAGCAAATACGGAAAGAATCTAAGTTTTATATAGGGTGTTTGTAAAATCGTTAGTAAACTTTGGAAGACTAATACTGTCTAACAAATGGAAAACATAACTTGATCTTATGATTTTTTCGTTAAAAAAATTTACTGTCAGTGTTAATAAGTATACAGTTTTTCTGTAAAAGGACTCGATAAATAAAGTAGAACAAACTAAAAACGCCTGTTTCGCCCTCGATTTTGTACCACATTGTTTATAAAACTACGTATGAATTTATTTATTTGTAACAAAGTTTTTGGCAAGTGGCGTTTGACATTTTCACTGACATTTGTCTCGCAACAACTTTTAATATATAAGAATAATTAAATAAATTGTTGTCTAAACATGTGTGAGTAACCGATTGTCCTTCAAAAATAGAACAATAGTTTGATATATTTGTCCGTCTTATCTCATTTGGTGAAAAGTTTATTTAAAAGGAACATTAAAATCGCAGATGGCTTCTTGATAACTTAACATTAGATTACGGAAACTGTTAGATATGTCGAAAAAAATAGATAAATAAATTGAGATATGTCGAAAAAAAATAAATAAATAAATTGGAGAAAAGAAAAAAGTTACAGGCAATATCTACATTTTTTAGTTCAACGCTGCTGATTATAGATTTATCATACATAAATTTAAATAAGATTAATTATTATTAATTACTTCAACAATGTAGACGCAAGGTGGATTAATTGGAAGGAAAATTAATTACAAATAGAAAAAAACACTAAATGTTATTCGAAAATTACGTTCACTACTTGTATATTATACTACAGTTAGGTAATACCTTATTAACATTCTATTTAAAATTTTTAAGATATCGTTGGGAGAGCCAGAGGTGTGGTATTTAGTAGTCGTTACTTGTTGTGAATCAATTTTTAAATGGTGGTATTGCGCTATTAATTTTTTTTAGAAATATAAAATGTACTAGTTAATGGTATATTGCATATTAAATCATAGGAAATTGCAATTTCTATGAAGTGTACCAGACTATACAAATTATTGTGTAAATTTAAGTAGATTAAAATAATACAGTGCGTATTTTAAATTATTTGCACACTGACAGGGTGGCATAACAATGAAGTATATAAATCCAATGACTTCCGCTAGAGGTCGATACGATCTCTTTAATAATAATTGAAGGAAAAAGTGAAACTAGATTCTGCGATTTGTACCAAATTAGATGATTTTTCGTCGGCAATATAAGTAGAAGTAATTTGTATACCTAAAATACCATTTGAAACATAATTTAAAAATAGAAAGTAGTGATGCTGACGCGCGCATATTGCCACTATAATAGACTAAAATATTCTAAAGATTGAAATTGAATTGATTCTTTCATTTACGGTTTCATAGCTTTTCGCAGTTGTATACAGGGTGTTATAATTTCATCGACTAAATTCTACGGATGAATTTCTGATAAAAAGTTTATGTGAAATTCTTCTTTCTTTTTTGAGTTACATGATGATAGTATTATTACTACTTTTAATTACCTACTCTCATTTATTTTATCCGTTTTTTTAAGTTAATGAATATAGAAGTTACCCGTTAGAAGTAATATACAAGGTGATACTTTTTATGAAACGACGACGACTGTACTCTCTTGGGTTTTTTGCTGCGGCGATACTGGTTTTTTTATCTCGAAATTTCTTTGTATCTTCAACTATTTCTTGAAAGATCTTTCCACTTCTTGGATCATCTTCAGTGGATTCTATTAGTGTAAATATTTGCAACTATTTTGTTCCTTTATTAAAAATTGATTTTCATGTAACTTAATTTTCAAGAAGATTTTTGAGCATGTTTAAATTTAATATAACAGGTCTACTGGTATATTGGTCTCTATAACCACCACTTGAGGGCTCTCAGATGATAAAATAATCACAATAATTATAATTTAATTAAGATAGATTAAAGCATTTTAACAAAAAGTAGTCCTTTGTTAAACTACAGATTTTAAATCTCTGAGATTTATCCAGATAAAAAATATTGCTTAATATAAAAATATTGCCAGTTATGATGATATTTGGAGCTAAAGGACGGTTTTGTACGTATGACGCAGACATGGAAATAAAAATTTCTTACGAACTTATCGGTTGTCATCGTTTAGATTAGTTTGAAACTAAACATTTTATGATTGATTTGCTGTTATCTTTTCTTCAAATGAAAAAATGGTGTGGTCTTAGACATCGTATGAATAATTTTTTTGGTAATCTATTGTATTTTGTTCATCGAATTACCAAAAAATTTAAATTCTACTTTTTTTATCGCCACATTATCTCTGGTTTAAATGATCTTGATCTATTTGAAACAAACTTAACCTCTTTATTTTTTGTAAATGTAATAGTTTTTGATCAAAAGGAGAGCTTTTATTACAATAAAGATACATCGAAATGAACAAAAATAAATTGAAAGCTTTAATTCTAAACGGAAAACCATAAAATATCGTAATAAATGTTGGAAATGACCACCTCCCACCATTACACAAGACTACATGCGTCGAAGTATTGATCCACGTATCTGATAAAAAAAAAATCCTGGAGAATTTTGCGCGAATCAATAATGCTGTCTCAGTTCTGGAATAGAATATTTTGCACAGGTGCCTTGTACAATCAAGTTTTTAAATGATACAGTAAACTTATTCTGTAGGATTTATATCGGGTGCTCGAGGAGGCCAAAGCTGAGGTCCACTACTGTCTGTCCAACTATTGGAATATGCATAGTCGTGCTCTTACATCTTCAAAAAGTACTGGAAGTATTTTGAGAAAGTATATGTCCAGAGAAAACTGTTATTGGTGATGAATTTCGGCTGAGGCATGTGGATTTTCTTCTGCCCACATGTGGTTGTTGCGATAATTTATTATTGATTCGCTTGAAATTTAAAAATTAGCTTCGTATTAAACAAGATCTGTGCCAAAATTTTCTTTCCAGAATTTAATGAGAAAATGTAAAAAATAATAACTGACATTAAATTTGCTTCAAATAAATCAAGCTAAAAGTCGGTACTAGGAAAAGTACATATAGTTTCATTTTTGTAACTTTCTACGTAGGTATTTAAGGAAAAAATAACTATGTTTTCTCCCCTTTTGAAGGGTGAGGAAAGAAGGTGGAGAGATTTTTTCTTCAACTGTTTCGTATTTATTTATTTGCACCCTGTGTATTATTACATACAAATTTTTATAATTATACCGGAGATCAATATCAAGTCTCATTCAGCTCGTACGAAATATAATCTGTAACCTTCATTACGAGAACGTTTGTTTTTAAATGAAATCGGAAAAAGTTCAAAGTTTCGTATGGTAGTTAGGTTTAGTGTTTTCAACTTTTTGCGTATATTGTCTTGTTTAAGCATTTACTTTAAATAATCCTAGCTATCTATGTTCACTTTACTTTTCTTCATATTGCATTAGTAGTATGTAGCACAGATGTTTGTAACAACATTTCCGAAACACCCCGTACAAAGACATAATGGTTAAAATATAATAAATTTGTACCTTCAATTATCAAGTTTACTTAAAAATATTTTAGATTAGTCGTCGCGAGCACACACAATTTTAACAAATGAATTTTATTAAATTATTACTGAATAAATTGTCATTTTGACAGTTTGGATGGTCGGATGACTTTTAATACGATCGTTATCGGAGAAGTTTAAATATTCTCATTTTATTCGTACAGGTTTGTTAAACATTTACTTTATGCACTATGCACAGTGAAAATCTGTGTAATTCGACGCACGGTAGTAAAAAAAATAGTAAAACATGGTAGAGAAGTATTATGTTACTTCTTTATCCATTAAATTGTTCTTTAATGCTGTAAACTTTTTATGTTCCTCAAATATGCGATTAATTGTTTTAATAATAACAATATCGAAAACAATTGCAATTAACTGTTTTGATCAAAATGATGCAAATAATCGACTGCTAAATGTAAGAAAATTACTTCCCTAACACCCTGTATAAAAGCACTAAATTCCACTCTGAAAATAGTTTTTCTATTACAGAATGGTACATCAGAAATGAACCAAACCGATGGCTTCCTTTCTTCCATACTAAATGACGAGGATTTACAGCTAATGGACATGGCTATGAATGAAGGTAAGGACATTTCACAATTAAATAATATGTATTTTTACTGTTATAGTTTTTCCGAAGTTCTATTGTAATATCAATGATTAATAGAAGGTGCCTATAATAAATTAAAATTACCTGAATCACACCAAATTTCGCATTGCTGCACTGCACTGCTGGGAAATTTGTCAACCACTTGTCAACAGCTGAGATTTATTTCCCAGTGGCTCAATGCAGCTGTGTTTGTATTTCGTTTGCCCGCGCTCGCATTCTTCAACTGGGCGTATACATTTCTACCACCTCCACGTTTAGTTCGACTAGACCTGTATATGAGTATGGGTAAATAAATATGGGAACAAGTTTTTTAAATATTTCAATGCCGAGTTGCTGCGTCAGCGACCGAACCTGGGACATACTGTCAGCCTTCAATTGATCGGAAAGACTATAACATTGTGGACTTTGGGATATAAATTTATATTCACTTCTTATCCAGCTCACAGAAGAATTTATTTACCACTAGTATTAAAAAAGTAGGTGGGCGAAATTGTACTGCAAAGACAACATATCTCTTGTAAATCGCAATGGTGAAGTATAAATAATGGTTTCATCAATCTTTTCTCAAACGAACTACTTATTGTATGAAAAAATTCTTTGATTAAGATCAGGCAACGCGTTGAGAATCTTGTCGCTAGGTGTAAGCACGCCTTTAGAAATCCTCTAAACGTAAGTTTTATTTTTTCATCGTTATGATATATTTTTGTATTACTACATATCAAATATATATTATGACGATGATTAGATAAGACAATAATTAGGTGAAGGGCTTTACCGCAAATTACTGAGTACAATATAGGATTAAAACTAATATTTACTGTATAATGACGCGTTTTTAAGTTGTTTCTAAGAAAGATCAGATGTTTGATATACATTTTTTCTTTTAAATGCGCAATATATTTTTGTTATTCGTCCATTACCATAATAATTTGAACTCTGCGTTTGAGGCTTATGATCCCAAATACAGTTCTATTTCTAACTCAAGATATAGTTTAACCGAAATAAAAATATTCATCGTTAACACAAAATATTGTGTAAATATGAAAAAGGTGATATTCATGCTTTTACAGAGTTAAAAATTAAAATTGAGATTATTGTTTCTTTTAAATATCGCACAACTGAAGGTATATGATTAAAGATCCTACCAATTTGACATTTGTTAATAGTGAAAAAGGTGTTGCATTTTGGATGGCTGCAAATGATATTTTTAATTGTTAAAAATACCCCCGTTGTATTACCCCATAAATAGTATGTACTAACATTTGTATTTAATTTTGTATTCCCGGGTTGGTATTACGGCAAAATGTTATGAACTAAGCAATTCAAGATGGCGTACGCCGCGCTTTTTTCGTTAAGCTAGAAATCAAAGTAATCTAGTCTTTCCTTAGGGTGAAATGATTAATGATTAGGGCAGATCCTACCACTCAGAAACCAACCAATTACAAACCTCCCTTGCTTATTCCTTGCGTGCTCTCATTTCTCATTTTCAGATCAACATAATAGTAAGCTGCTTTGTATTCTAGATTCATTCATTCACTTCAGCGGGAGAAGCGTGTTCGTCGCCATTTCACAAACGAATGCTAATGGTTTCTGTTTTTTTTTTGCATGGGGAGATCGTTAAGATATGCATTTATTAAAATCTGAATATTCAAATAGCGATTCGTTTCTTAAGACAATGCCGTCTCCTATTTTTCCATAATTTTATTCAAAACGTCGGATGACATGTTTTGGGGAGTTTGTGCATTGGAACTACTTTTCTAGTAATTATAGAAACAAACACACGATCTGTGATTTTGTTAGATCTAAATAATATTTAAATATGCATACTTCCGCTGTCATCAGTTAAACGGATTTATTAGTATGTATTTTCTTGATCAGATGGAGTATATATTTTTTTATGCTACAACCCAACACCGCTAAAGAACTATTTACTTATATTTTTTTGCTTCTGATGATATGCAGGTAATGTTTTTACTATGTTAACGGCATGAATATCTCACCCTGTATATGTATAAATTCATTTATTTTACGCAATAATGCCTAGAATTGGGGTAGTGTGTATACGCATAAAATTCATATTTTCGCACAGTAATAGAAAAAAATCTAAACGAGCTTCTACCTTTTTTATTAAATTATATTTCGATTTGCCGTAATATCTCGAAAAAATGAACTGCGAGTAGATGAAATATTTTATCCATATTTCATTAACCACAGCCAACATTTAAATACTTTAATGCGTCAATATAAAAATTATAATTACAATTACAAATTGTTTTCAGAAAATACTCTACTCTTTATATCAAAATTAAATTCTCTGCACGGTAACTAGTAGAAAAGAAATCGAATCGACTTTTTTAGACTATTTTTCGTTAAGTTGTTTTTTTTTATTTTCCCGTACAGTATGAATGAATGAGATAAAAATAAAAATGTCAAATTTTATCGAATTACATTTTTTTCCTAAAAAAAATTAGGTTCATATTTCATGGAATTACTAAACATATTATATATATATATATATATCAGTATAAAAATTACATTTATTCTCAAAAAATATTAGGTTCACAACGTCATATTAAGACTATTCGTTTGTTTCAGTAATGTTTTACTTTTAATAAAAAAAGTCGTACATTTTCATTCCTGTGGACCTTATTCTTTTATATAAAAATTAAATTTAGACCTAGCACATATTTATAGTTGCAGTATAACGCACTAAACATATTTAATAAATCTAAACAATTTATTTTTTTACAGTAGTGTAAAATATTTACATACTAGTGCGAAAAAATAATTATATTTTACGTACATGAAGTCCACTGAGAGAAAATTTAAATTTTTTTCGCTAAATTATTCTTTAATTCCCTCAGTATCACTTTTATATTAATTTACTAAATTAAATAAAAAAAATATATACATTTTAATTCGAACAGGCCAATTTTTTTATGAAAACTAAATTTTGGCCCTAGTACACATTTAAAATAGTTACAATATAACATACTGAACATATTATTAATAACATTCAAGGTCCTGTTATTTGGCGCTTAAATTACGAGTTCAAGTCAAAAATATATAAGAAAATGATTATGGCGAGCCGTTACATTCTGATGTATTAGGAACGATGCATATTAAATTTGTATTATCATTAATACACACTAAATTTGCTGTGTCACTGTTATACAAATAATAAGTCACGGAGCGTTAGACTTCAACTACTTAAATTACAAAAATAAAAATAGGCTAGTATACGTAGTTATTTTTATATATGTATATTCCACGTTATGTGTATTTCAATTGATTAAATTAATAGGCCGAGCATTTTTTTGAGACCCTGTGTCGTAAGAAAATAATATTAGCCACTATTTATACTCGCGAATATGTAATGTGCTAGTGATATTATGGTATGATCAGAATTAATTTATGTTCGCATCACGGTTATGATAATAGATAAAGGCAATTAAATAAACCGTTCACTGTTATTTGTGAGTTTTTAAGACAATGTGCAACAAGTTTTACGCTGTTTTCGGAAAATCCATGGAAATGCAGAATACCTTTGGATATGCTGTTGTAATTTGTTGTAGACTTTGTTGTTGTTGTTGTTGCTGCACATGTAAGTTTTACATTTTATCAATATTTAAATAAGCCTTAAATCTACCATTGCCATGTTGTAGGCTCGTGATAATGTGGTATATCTTTCCTATAATGACGAAATTTCCGTTTGATATTGACAGTTTTTCAAATGTGTATGGAATTCTCTCACTTTTATTATATAACCCGAAAAATTCATTTGTAAGACAAACCTTTACATGTGGAATTTGAACACCTATGCAAATTTAACGAGTCGAAATAAAACATTTTAAAGTAATATACGAGTATACCTTTACTTCAGGTCGATGTACAGTATAGATTAAATAGATAAGTAAACGATAAATATTGTGACTAAAAGTAGAAACTTCGACTCAATTTAAAACGTCGTAAAATAAAGTATGAAATCATTTTGAAAGCTATTGCTATCATTTTTAGAATTTGTCATATCATAATGAATTAATTACTTGCATGATTATACTAATTTATCTGCACAAAAAATTTCTACATGTAATAATGCCCCTTATTTGTTTCTCTATTTTTTGCCCAGTCAAATGTCAAGAATAAGTTGATGATAAATCATTATTTTTAAATACTTTTATCTCCACAAATGTTTGTCTGACGATGATGATGAATATTAACTAGTTCATATATTTTAAAATTTAGATGTTAGGATGTTTATTTTTACGTTTGTATTAAGCCTCCCCCTCTTGATTAAATAACTTAATTTCGTACACTCTTACGCCAACGGTGACTCGACGTACTAGCCTGCTTTATGTTTTAAATTTAAATAATCATCGTATTACAATGTTTGTAATAGCAGTCCAGAATTATGAAATTTGAGAACTTAAAACGGAAAATAAATTTGTCTCTGTACTGATAAGTACTAATAAGAAAATATATATCTCTGGCGGAAACTACGTCGATTTTGTTGATCAAAACCCGTTATTTACAAATTCCGCAGTCGTCTACGACACATATCATGCCATTTTTATGGCGTCACTTTTGAAGATCGATAAATAACCAAGATAAAAATTAAAACAGAAGTGGTAGAATCCATTTTGTAAAGAGTATTGCATTTTCCTACGTTTATCTAATTAGAAGAAAAAAATTCAGTTGAGAAAAATATATCATAAATTTGTCAAAGAAAAGAGCTTTGTATATTACACAAAAATGCCATTTTTTGTGCACTATTTTTGCAAATATACAGGGTGTTTGTAAATAAATGCGAAATATCTTAGGGGGTGGTTGCCAAAGTTATTTTATGAAAAAATGTTCATATAAACGTTGGTCGAAATATGCTTCGTTTCAGAGATACAGTGTTTAAATTTTAATTTCTTATTTATTTTTATTTTAATTAATTCAAAGAGTTTTAAATATATTGACTCGAAATTTGATGGTTGTATATCATTTAGAAATATTGACAGCAATCTACTAGATAATGTATCAATAGAAATTAAAAATACACAACTTGCAATTAAATGTTTTATTTTTTTCCTATCCTACGAAAAAATTGAAGAGACCAATTTCACTCAGAATTGATGGCGGATTTCTAAAAAAAATATCAAAACCGGAAAAAGTCAGTGGCTTATTATTTTTTTATTAAAAAGGTTGTGGCATTTTCGCACGAACGCCACTGGTACAAGTAGAAATATTCGAGCCACCCCAAAAAATGCTCATTTATCCCTCCAAAGGTTTCTCAAATTTCGAATGAATATGGTCAAAGCTCTTTGAAATAACCAAAAATAAATATAAAATTAAAATTTAAACACTGTATCTCGGAAACGAAGCATATTTCGACCTACGTTTATATGAACTTTTTTTTCACAAAATAACTTCGGCAACCAACCCTGTATAAGCGGACATACCTTACATTTTGTGTAAACAAAAATTTTTGTAATTTTTTCTAGTTTTGAATGTTCATACAAAATAATTTTAATAGGATATATTATTATCTATTTTGAAATTTCTTTCTTTCTTTCGAAGAAAATGATTTTTACATAAGACTACAAAATATTAACTTGTATGCATGTTATACAATACGTAAAGTATATATGTTACACACCAGTGCAAAAATAAGTTATAAATTATTCCATAATTTAATAAAATATATTAAACTGGTCGATTTAATTTAATTACTTCTTAATCTACCATTGATTGCTGATGCGCTGGGAAATAATCAATAATTACCTTATTGCTTTGATTAATTTTAGAACTTGTGCATAAAATTAAATTCTTTACAAGCTAGTGCATAATAAAGTTTTACTAATTTAATGATATTACTTTTACACACTTGCAACTGTTTAAAAGAAAAAGATAAACATGAATTACTACAATGGGATTTTTTCAACTTTTTAAATATATCACAAAACAACAAATTGGTCAGTTTGGTAACGATGGTTCCCTCCAATTTCTTTCAATTATCGAAGAGACCTTTGCGATCTCTAAGGAAGGACGTGGAATCATTGGATTTATACATCCTACAGAAATTGCTAACAATTATGCCACCCCATTGGCGTGCCAACATTTAGTGATTTTTCAAATTTTTCTCTTAGTAATGTCATAACTCGTAAAATTAAATTTCAAATCAAAATAAGAATTGTAATTCGCTGATTTCTTCACCAAAAGTATTGAAAAATATATTTTTAAGAAACGAAACTACCCTACTTTACAAAACATTTCTTATTTGTTAAGACATTTTTTGCCCACCTCTTCATCTATCTCGCAAAATTAATTCATCAAAAAACAATGTTAGTTTTCTAAAAGAAAAGAATAAGCTTCCTCATATTTTACTCGCATCTAAATAAGATTGATGAGCCAAGTAAATCGATCCTAATCACCACATTTTATGCACTGACATGTTATTTTTCAGGAATGTATACTATGCGTATGTTAGACAGTAACAATGCTATAAGTAACTTAAGCATGAATGGTACAACCGGTGCCACAACAATGTCACGAAATGACATGGAAAGGATGGACACTTCAAGCGACAGTGCCGTCAGTTCCATGGGCTCCGAAAGAGTGCCATCCCTCTCCGATGGCGAGTGGTGTGACGGCGGGTCTGATTCTGGACATACCACAGCCGAACACTACGTCACTGACTATCAAAGGTATGTACTTAGTTGAAAGAAAGTCTAAGTAAAGACAGAAATTTTTCAATAAATGACATGCTATCCACCATACTATCCGAACCTAGCACCATTAGGCTCTCATTTGTTTGGAACATTTCCCATGTCAGGTTTACAGATGATGAGACGGTTGAGGTGATGGTTTTTCTGTAAAGGGTGCTGCTAGACCAGGTGTCTTCGAAATATAATTTTTACAAGCACGTGTGAAGCAATGTTATTAAACAATTTGTTATTTGCTATTGGTGTTCCACGAGGAACCATTTTTACTGTTGCTGAGCTAAAGAACTTTAATGGATGGCGCCTATCATATGGTAATGACATTATTAGTCTATATAATTGCAGAATTCAATTAAAAAACTTAAAGTTTATCTCAATAACAACCTCTAAATATAAATTGGTCTATCACTTTATTAACTAATGATCCACCTGAGAAAATGTTTTTGTTGAGTCAAGTCATACACAGAAATCAATTACTCTTCAATTTTGAAATAATTTAAAAGTTTTGGACACATATAAACTCGAAATAAAAAAATTATTGTGTGCATTTCAAATGCCTTTGTCTTCTTTTTAATTTTTTATTCTTTGCCGGGCATCTTGGTTTTGTTTTAATCCAACTATTCCTTAACCCCTAATAAGTATAAAATCTCTCTATTAAAATATTTCTTTTTTTTTACACTATCTGACTGATCCATATTTCTGTGGAGTAGTGATATTGTTAAATAGCCATAGCTTATAGTAGGATCGTATTTGATACAAAATAATAAATCATTGCCTGTCAAGGGATCCAGTGCAGTACGGTTTTAAGGGTTTTAGAAATTCCCGTCTGGCACCCTTGTTCCTACAATAAATAAAGAGGAACCTGTTTTTCGATTTTACTTTTATTAAAATTATAAGTTAGTACTAGATCTATAAAAATAACTTTAACGAATACTACCCTTTCTTATACATTTACAGTTAGACAAACAGTCAAACTTATGAATTAGAATACCAGATGGTGCTACTTCCTAAAAGATCTTCTTCTTATCTATACTCTAAACGAAGGTAACGAAGATTTTTTGAGAGAGCCGCCATCTAGTATTCTCTTTACCAAACTTGACCGATTACTTAACAATATAATAAGGATTATTTAATTGTAACAAGACATTTTCTTACAAATTATAATTGTAAGAATTGGTACTGCATTGTACTGATTTTTATTGTAAATATTTATTTATTTTTTTGATTTTCAGCAAAATTCGACCGTTTGACTACAGTTACTCCAGTCGACAGCTGAACAATGGTATAGGCAACTCAGATTCCGCGCGTATCCCGCCTGTGGCACAGAAGAAACATCAAATGTATGGCAAAAGATACTTCCAAGACCAAAGTGCCACCAGCGCGGCTCATACGCCCCAAACGCCACTGAAATATGAATTCCGAGATGCCGCCACTTCTTCCTACAATATTCCCAATCAACCAGAAGGGGCAGTGGGTCCGAGAGTACCCGAGATGAAGTACTCTTGCTCTCTGGAATTCGGGCTGCAAAGCCACTTAGCTAGGAACTCCGCCGACCACATACAACACAACCACACGTACCACCTTCCCGCAGAAAGTTCTGGTGTTATGCAACGGCCTATTTCCAGAGACAAGTCGAAGTCACGCAAGTCAGACGAAGAGCACTTAACAAGAGATGAGAAGAGAGCTAGAGCTTTGAACGTTCCAATTGCGGTCGACGACATAATAAACTTGCCTATGGATGAATTCAACGAGCGTCTGTCAAAATACGATTTAAGTGAAGCGCAACTAAGTCTCATAAGGGACATTAGAAGGAGAGGCAAAAATAAAGTAGCTGCACAAAACTGCAGAAAGCGCAAACTCGATCAGATTCTAAGCTTGGCCGATGAGGTTAAGGAGATGAGAGACAGGAAACTTAAGCTTATAAGCGATCATGAGTTTGCTGTGAATGAGTGCAAACGGATGAAGGACAAGTATCAGCAACTTTACAGACATGTATTTCAGGTAAGCAGTACGATGAATATACATACCGGGTTTTCAAAAAGTTTGGAACCCCCCTCTATCTTAGAAAATAAAAAAAAAATGATTAGGACAAAAGTTGCAGGGTTTTGAGTGACCTTGACCATGACATTGAAGGTCATTTAGAGGTCAAGTTGAAAATTTTAAATGTTTTAAAAATTTTTAAACCATATACTTTTGACCCTGGAAATGGAAAAAATGGAAATATGTATTATTTTAGTAATAATTAAATAATTAATTTCCATTTTTTCCATTTCCGGTGTTAAAAATATATGGTTCCATTTAAAATTTTCAACTTGACTTCTAAATGACCTTCAAGGTCATGGTCAAGGTCACCGTTGGATTGCTCACTCAAAACCCTGCAACTTTTATCCTAATCATTTTTTTGTTTGAGCAGTATTTTCTGAGATAGAAGGGTGGGGGGTGGGGGTTCCAAACTTTTTGAAAACCCGGTATATATATTGCACAATTCTTCAATTTATATTGTTTGAGTAAACTGACAACATGGTACTGTGAACGTTTCAGTAAAGCACAAGAAACGAACTGCAAAATGAAACCAAGAACGAAAGTACGGAAATTATAAATACAAAAGCCTGTACATTTTGTTCTTTCGTTAATTTATCTATACCTTCTATTTTTTTTCTTAATATCATTCTTCATAGAAACCCCTACAGTGTATTGATTATCATAATTTTTAATACCGTTAAAGAAACGAGACTTTGTTTCCAAAACTCTATGAACGTGTTAAAAAATATTTGTTGACAATGATTTGTGTTGTGCAGTAAATAATTTATATCTATTATAAAAAATAAATTATAATTATTGTGAAGGAGCAACGTTTATGTAGCAAAATTATTTTCTCAATCAACATTATATAGAAAAAAAAAAGGTTAATATTTATTTGACCTTTCGCCTATATTAGATTAATTCAAGCAAATCTGCGTTTTATGATTTATAAAAGCATTAAGTAAAAACGACAGCCGATAAATGTTCCACGTGCATACGAGAATGTAGTTATTATTTTTGCTATACTGTAACGTAAATTAAAATAACCCATTGAAATTTATAAAGGTCTGGTGATTTCACATGCTATTTTATTCAAAACAATGGTTTTACCAATTTTTGACCCAATTAATCAAGAAGTGAGTTAAGTTGAAATAGTCATTGTATTACAAACAGTGTAGAAATTACCTAGCTTCTATAATTGGAGACAACATACCTAACTGGCCAATTTTGAGAAGTACTTAATATTCAATAGTATCAATTTTACTTACATCCTTCAATTTTAACATTCATTTTTATTTTACATATTTGAAAAATATGGTGTTGCGGTTATAGTCTCTGAAGTCAGTTGAACATGTAAAAAAACTCCTGACAATAAAATTTAATGAGTTTCATAGGCGTCCCTAAAAAAGTTTTCTGTTAAAGGTAAATTATAATAATTTGTATATAATGTGTAGAAAATTTCTATTATATGTTCATTTGGCTAACAACATATTTTAAATATTTATATCATCAAACAATTTTATTATATTGATGATAAATTTCATTTTGTTCCATTTCAAAAGGTCTCCAAAATGCCATGTTGTAATAATATTATTTCTCCATTTCGCAATTGTAATATCAATGATTAATAGAAGGTGCCTATAATAAATTAAAATTATCTGAATCACACCAAATTCCGCATTACTGCACTGCACTGCTGGGCAATGCGTCAACCACTTGTCAACAACTGAGATTTATTGCCCAGTGACCCAATACAGCTGTGTTTGTATTGAAAAAGAGGAGAACAAATATAACGAATTGAGACAATTTTTCGATCAATTTTTATTGGACCAAAAATGAATGCATTTAAGAGTTAGAATTATACCGGTTTCACACAATAATTACATGAAAAATGTACATAGTTGCAAGAAGCATTTTTATTATAATATTTAGAAGTAATTTGTCCATTCTTTGTTAAACATTTCAAATACCATTTTGACTTGTGCTCTTGCATCAAACCAAAATTTAAGCCTATTTCATTTTCAAGAAATTGTCAGAATTTGCTATATTTGTGGCACCTTTTTACACGGTATAATGTTGGGCTGACCCGTCAGTGTAAAAGATGCATTGAAAGTCAAATAATAAAAGAAATCGACTTACAGCTGTCATGCTGGGTATTTTTATTATATGATTTAAGATTGATGTTCAGTGTGTGTAGTATTATGATGTTTGTGACCACTAATGAATAATTCCATTATTGTGATAGAAATGGTTACTTTGGCAGCCATCGATTGTATCCTCACAATGCAGAAAAAAATGCAATTGCTGAATGTTGCAAACAGCGAAACTAAAAAAACGCACTGTAGGGATAATTAGCGGAATTTCCAATTTCTCTTCTGTTTATTGTTGATAAATATATCTAGCAATCGATAATTTTGTTCCAGAATTTACGTGACGCTGACGGGAATCAATATTCCCCCTACCAGTACAGTTTGCAGACATCCGCAGACGGTTCTATTCTAATGGTGCCCCGGTCAAACTCGACACTTTCAAATCCAGAGCGAAAGGACCCTCCACAGAACAACAAAGAATAAAGTTGCTTATTTATTTTTTGAAGAAAATTTGCTCAAAACCCATAAAATTTGCAGACATTTTTTTAATGCAGACATACAAATTAAATTGTAAACTATAAAATAAGCAATTTCCTTAAAGATACCTCATCGAAAATACCATTTGCTTTTGAAAATATAATACGGATTTTAGTATTTGTACAAAGGTCGATAACTTCTTACTTTAAAAAACCTATTATATTTTTCTAACATATTCAGGTGATGATAATGCCTTTTCAAAGAAAAAAGAAAAAAAGAAAGAAAAAAATCTTAGTGTATATAGTAGTTAAGATAAACAGTGAGTGAAATGTGTTTGACTGAAATTGGTGTAGGAGCTTACTGTTAGATATAGCATATTTAGTAAAGTTGGAACAGGTTTTGTCATTTAAGGAGCGTATGTGATTTTATAGTAATCATTTCATTAGAGTTATTTTAATTGTGTAGTAACCGTACTTGACTTTTTGGTACTAAGTAGGTACCGAGGTTCTAAAAATAATGTATTAAATAAAGTAGTAGGCTGATATTTTTTATAAACAGTATAGGTTTTGTACATTATATAGTATATGAATAGGGAAGTTAAAAATTATCCCGAGTGGTAAATTGCACCATTTTAATACTATAATTAATTGTGAATATTTAATGTTTTGGGATATTTAATCTATATGGCTGATATTTGTAAACGAAATAAAATGTAACAAACGAGTAAATAGAACGTAAATTTGCCAAAGGGTTCTTGTATTAGAAGTACTTCTAAAATTCCTGCAATTTACTATGAAACGGTTTCACCTTTGGATCAGACGTTATTTCAATATTTTACTTGAGATATTCAGCACCAGTAAATATATGTCCCGTTAAATTTTTTCAGGGGCGATGCCGCTGACGTTTTTTTAATACATAATGCTTAAGTAAACTGATTATACCAGTTGAAAGTAACATAAAACATTTCCATGAGGCTTATATCATCGTTTTAATAAGTTTTAAAAATTCGATGTATTGATAACTGTATTTTTCGATACCGATTTTGCAATTTACTTTTAAATATATGGTGCCAACAAAGATCTCATCAATTAATTATATTTTTTTCCAATAATCAGATATTTACTTATTACTTAATGAAATTTAAGGATCCACTGCTGTAAAATATTATTTTTATGCATGTACTACTCACATCATAATTTTTCTTTCAGTTTTGTAAATATATAAATAAAATTATATCTTAAACAGCATTTTTATTTTTTCAGTATGTAATTTAATTGCCCCATCTATAAAATTAAAATATTGTACAGGAAATGAATTATAAACTCGATAATGGATGAATTTGAAAATGATAATAGGCTGATTCCATCCCAAATCATGCAGAGCTCCATGCGGACTTGTCACCAAGCTACTGCAAAATATTTTTTATTGTTCTAGGTCAAAAATAAGAGCACCCCTATTTTTTCTTTTTCCTCAGACGCATAGTTATAGTTATTTTTTTTATTTTTTGACACGATAAAGTAATTCTTATTTTACCTGATAGAGGGAATAGAGTCCTCCAAATCTACCTTTTCAGAAATGTGAATAAATGCATTGTTCGGCAGAAAATGCATTTTTTCAAAAAAGTGCATCTTCGAAAAAAATTTGTTTTTCTCAAAAAGGCCATATTTTTTTTGGAGATTCTTAGCACCAATACCTTCAAATCTATCTTTCTGAAATTTGCGGTTTTTGCTTTTTATCGCATAAAACTTAAAAATAAAAAAACTACAATAATGTGAATAAAATAAAACATTCATTTCTATTCAATTGTATACAGGGTGTCGCGCTTAAATGTAAAACAAGCCTGTAACTTTTTTATTTTTTGGCCGATTTCAAAAATTTTTGTTTTAGAATGTAGGGTAAAAAATATTCTATCTAACTGTGAGACTCTGCTGTCTTATTAATGCAATACACGGCCAACCAAAATTTTGAAATTTTGACTGATTGTGAGTCACGGAACCCTCAGAGAGGTTGTGGGGAACCCGAGGATTCCATGGAACATAGTTTGAATACCGCTACTCTACAGCAATTGGGAAAATCTAAAACGCAATAATGATATTAAACAATTATAAAACGCGTGTGAAGCTTTTTATAATTTTTTTTAATCAGTTTGCTGTTTTACACAAAAAATTTAATTGAAAGTATTCATTGTGGTATTCATCAGATATTAGAAACATTAAACACAAATTATTACAGTAAATTTAAAAAGAACCCATATTATTGATGTTCACTATCCTGAAATTTTTCTATTATTTTTCAAGTGTTCAGCAACCAAAATTTCGTCATTCGGTTGATTCATCTTCATTGGACTGTTTCATGATTTTTTCTACACCATTATGCATTTTATTTAATCTTATTCTGTTCACTGAGAATTTCTATCATCAGAAATTAAAGAATTTGTGTAATATTAAAAAAAATAGAATCAATCCGACATAAAAATTATTGATCCATTGCTATTCTATTTAACTTTGCAAAGGTATTTGATATGGCTATATAGGGTGATTCACAAATGGGGACCTAAAATGGAAGCTTGTATTCTTTGGTGAATATAATTTTTTTAAATAATTTAAAAACTAGTAAGTGAAATAATTTGAAACTGGGCGAATGTATTTATGTAAACATTGTCCAAAATCTGAGGGTTTTGCCTAAAATTTACATGCTCCAGTGGCGGAGGTACAGGATATCGATGGCATATTTTTCTAATTAATATAGTACCTCACTGCTTTGCGGTAACAACCATGATATGTTCAGATTCATCTTTCAATTTTCTACAAATCTACTCTTGTTTTTCGAAAAAAATCATGATTTTAGAGTAAAACTTAAAAAACCAACTGAAAACACTTACTTAAATGACATGACAAGCACTAATCATTCGGTTATTTACTCAAATAAAGAAATGAATAACATTAGTAATCATTTTAATGATTTTGTTTAAGTAAATGCTCAAAACTACCTCCATTTCCACGAAGACAGGCCCGACATCTTTTTAGTAACAAAAATGTAATTTGTTCGAAATTTATTGTTGCTTGAATCTAACGAAAAGCATTATTTATTCTTTTTTCTAACTGCTCAGAACTTTATAGGAAAAAACCCTTATAATTCACCAAATAATACGACGTTTCATATTTGGTCACCATTTGTGAATCACCCTGTATATACAATGTCGAACAATTTTAATAAAATGTTCATTTTAAGAGTATGATACCAACTTTCTAAGATATTTAATTCCCACCTAATTCGTGTTCATATATTGAGTTTTTTGTTTTATATTTCTAAAAAACCTGTTTTTTGTCCTGTAAGTGAAATATTTCTGTTAGGCAATAAATGCTTTATTATATTATAATTTACATTAGGATTATATTATCTTATTCATATTTTAAATTTAACCTTAGGGCATCTGGACACCCTTTTTGTTTATAACGGTTTAAATATCAATATTTTTCAGTTTTTCTTGGAATGGGGTTAAAAATTATATTAACTAACAAAATTTTCGCCGTTGAAAGTTGCCAATTCAGGAAGATTTTTAGGATTTTTTGGTTTTCTCAAACAAATTATAATGACTCGAATACTATAAAGTACCTAATAATCGAATTCAGAGTGAAAATGCTCCTCTACATTTACATCACCACTCTCAAGACCAAAAAGGAGTTGAATAATAGTTTTTTGTTGCATATTAGTTTTTCAAAATCGTATCCATAAATGTTTATATTTTGATTTTGTTATAGATACCAAATGTCAAAGATCGATTTTGACAATCGAGAACCAAAATGGCTGCGATCGCTACCCGGATTTTATAGCTTTAAGGACGGGATTTTGTACAAAAAATATTGCCCAGCGTGAGTCACGAAACGGGACCCCGGCAGGTGCTGTTCTAGCGGCCAACGCTTCAAGTCTAATAATTCTGCTGCACCGGATATTCGTCCGATTTTTCAGGAACGGCTCCAATTTTTGTACATACAATCTTATAAGGAAAGAGAGTAAATATTTTATTAATCAGTAATAGATTATCGAGGACAATAATATTTTTTTATTGAGTAGGCAATAATTTTTAGTTAATAAGCTTAAACAATCTTATAATTACTATTCCTTCATTATAAAAACAGAAATACGGTTTTTAAAATTACATGTAGTTTCTTCTTCAAAAGTGACCTTAAAACACGTATAACATGGAATAGTCAACAGTCTAATGTTTATATTTTCACATTAACAATCCGATAATGTAAATTAACTGCTATTTTCAGTAAAAAAAAATATACCTAACCTGAAATATTTTTTTACTTTGACGAGTCGTTTTAACTTAAAAACACTGCTTAATTACTAAAATATATAGAATCTTGCTACTAATTGCGTTTGGAGAATAATATGTATAGGCATAAAATATATATATAATATTACTGTATGTATTTAGTCCATTGAAATGAAGGCTGAACCTCCATTTTTTCCTCTGTCGATCAAACCTGGGCGCAAATATGTTTTCGACCCTCAGGAATCCGAATCCGCAAAAATTTTTGACCTAGGTGATCAGGCAAGGGGTCAAAAGGTCAAAAAACCCGTAAAAAATAAGGTTTTTCGCAAATATCTCGTAAACTACGGCAAGTAGCAAAAAAATAATTGCACCATCGTGTTCCCAGGGAAATTACGATTATAAACAATTAAAAAATTTATTTAAGAAAAATTTTTGTTTTTAAAAAACAGATTACCAAGACAATAAAATGGCAAAAAAAATGTTTCAAAAATATTAAACTTGTCCATTTGTTTATAACAAATTTATAAACAAATAACGTTAAAAAGTTTTTAGCTAAGCTAATAAACGCAATATATTAATAGAAAAACAACTAAAATCAAACATTTGGTAAAAAAAAAATTTATAACATTTCCCGGATTTTTCATTTTTTGTTAATTTTAAAAAATCATTATAAACAAATGAAAAAACTTTTATAAACTTTTACAACGGAATCTTGTTTATTATGTATATAAAAAGACCTCCCAGAAAGAAAAAAAATTTTAGATACATTATTTAAAGTTTTACAACAAGTTTTATGAAAGATTAGGACCACGAAAAATTAGTTCATTAACAATTGAATAACTTTAACATAAGTCAAGTTAAAAATTATTTTCCAACTGGGCTGTGTTCCTTCAAGTGTCTAGATGACACTATAATTTATTTAGATTTTTAAATTAATATTGAATACTATAAAAAAATTATTTTGTGTTGCACACTTTGCTTGGCGGCGACGCGACGACGCGGAAACCGCCGCCGCCGCGCGGAGCTATATTTTCAACGTCAAATTAAAATTATAAATAATGGAGCTACAATTCCTGACTTATTTTGCTGAAATTTTCTCCTCTTTCAGGATCTTTTTTGAAATTTCAGCTATCTTCAATATTTTTTTAGTTATAGTTAAAAAACGGAGACTCCCTTTTTTCTCTTCGTTTTTTGTTTATAACAATTGCTATTTTTAATTGCGGATAAATTTAAAAATACTTCTTTCTCTGAATATAATTCCGAATCCAATGTACTAACAACCATATTTTTAGGATTACAATAACTATTTTTCGCAAAAAAAACTCACTTCTCGACTAGACTAGTGGTTTCCTTCTTATCGGTAAGTAGCTACTGATTTGTAGATTGAAACAGAAATCTACCTGAGCCAGACCAATTTTTAAGCTGTAAATTTATTTTGAAACTACCAAGGCTACAATATAAATAACGATTTTATGTGGGACACCCTGTACGTAAAATTTAATCTTTATTCTTAATAAAGAAAAATTAGTACATATTATTGGTTTTTTATGCGTTATATTTTCGTACTACTTAAGCTTTACAAAATCTTATTACTTAGGTACCTACCTACTTTTAAAATATTACCCATATTTATATATCAAAGATAATATCAGACCATTATGGGTCCCATATTCTGTAAATAGTGTTTTCCGCAAAGACAAATAATTTCAAACATTTAATAACTGAATAATCTAAAGCTTATCAAATAATAGGAATGTTATGTCATGCCACCTGAGTATTTTCAAAGACGCCGGCCGCAGTAAAACGAATAAACAGGTGCAAAAAACGATCAAACCATTAAGGTTTTAGGTACTGAAATCTACGAAAATACTATCTTTTTTATATATAATTCCACATGTAAATATTCTTATAACATTTACTTGCTTAGTCCTACATATAAAATTGTTTACTTTTTATAAGTACGTGAAAATAATTGTTAAAATGTGGGGTTAGGATAATAGCAAACGCATGTTTTGCAAACGCTTTTTTTTAGTTATTATTTTATTTGGGTAAATTTAAACGGTAACCATGAATAAACAAAACATCAAGGATTTTATTTTTGTGCTTACCCCTACTTTTGTTCTACACGTTTTACTTTTAAAGATTTCAGTACCTAAAAACGCCAGAAATTTCACTATTTCTCGGCCAATACAATTTACAATAAACCAACTCTGTGTTTTCGCTTTCATTTTCAAGGGTAGCGACACCTGTGACAGAGTACACAAACTAATTTTATTTAGAAATTCTTGTAGAAGATAGAAACCGCTAAAATTCTGGTTTAAATATATAATATAATATAATATAACATGGAGTCGTGTGTAAAATGTTGTCATCTTACTTGAGGACACAAATTATAGAATTGTTAATAAATATTAATCTGAAAATTAAATACAAATGATCCTAAGTGTCCGTTCTAGTGAGTGAAGTAGTTTGGTTATTGTGCCTGACCTAGTTCCGTCGTAAATCCAATATATTGGCAGACTAACAGTATGGTTAAAATTGAGGTACTTTGGCATTTATTTAAATTATTCTTCTGTTCTCATGAGCATTGAAATTTATTTCACTCACTAGCGGGAACCATTGCGAATACATTGATATATAATAATATTCAATTATGTTAGTTTCTTCGATGATTTGTGTCCTCATCTGAAGCTCTGTTACACGGTAAAAATATACATACTAAATCGCCCCCTTAATGCTAAACGTAAAACGCTGAAGCTGTTATTTTCGAACTAATTTAGGCTCGATAACAGGCACAAATTGTATTGTATTGGGGAAAACATGCAACTAAGAGATAACTCTTTTTTAATTCGATTCACAGAGAAAAACATGTTATAATTATCAATATTGTTGATGCGATTTGTATTTAAATTCCTCCGTTATTGTATTTTACATTGCTTTATAATTTTATATTAAGACGCTGACTTAAGCAGATAACTCAGATATTTCGACTACAGTACAGGTACAGCCAAATAAATACTTTGCTGTATTTACTTAAAGCTGAACAAATTCAAAATTTACCCATCTTTCCAATCGGAACTGGAAAACAGGAAATACAACCGATTACGGCGGCCAATCAGCTGGTTCCACGACAATACAGTATAGTCAGGTTAAAAATGTGAATGCTCAGGATGTGTTTTTTTCTGATCTGTGGTTATATGTTAGTCTAGGAATACAATTGCCATAGAATAAGAAAAATATATTTTTAGGAAAGATAAAGAAATCACCACACACGTAATTAATGAGAAGTCAGCACCACTTTAACACTATTATTATCTTGCTTATCGGATTAGCTGTGTTTAGTTATATTTTCCATATCTATGTATTTAAGTTTTTCCTCCGTATGAAAGTAAAATGATACATGTGCTGATATGTACTTAATTTTGCTCTGTAACACTGAATTGTTTCTTTGCACTTATAAAAATGTTAATTTTTTATTTGGAATCTGGGACACCATGATTAATATAAGGTTACTGAAATTTTATGACATTTTTGCAGAAATTAGAATAATATCAAAATTTTAAATGGCGTATTTTTGTGTTTACATATATTTATAACACATTACCGGTAACAGAGTAATAGTTCTTTGTACGTTTTTAATATGCTTTTATTGTTGAAACAAACATAAATGTCGCTTATCCACAACTTAACCTACGTGTCCACATGTTGCTCGGCTACTTTTCTATTGGACTATTTGACTATTTCAATAAGGATTAAAGGCAATCTAAATTGGTATCTTTAAAAATAATTTAGCCTTGGTCAGTTTTATTGAAGTGCCTAAAAATGAGTGACGACCAATATGCTATTGTGCAAGGTTGTACCATATCCTTGGCTTAGCTTATTGTTAGCTTAGCGAGAAGCCACAAGTGTCTGCGACTGTTAGATGCAGTGCAATTTTATCAACTTTATCTTTACATGTTAGAAAAGTTAAAGATAAAAAAACTTGATAAGACGCATTATTCATGGACATGAGATCGGAACAATCGTTTGGTGCAGTGACAAGAGATTTGTTGTATTTCCTTTTGTTTATAAATTAATTCTTGTGTTTTGGAGCCTTATATATCCAGCCGTTTTAATAGAAATAAAATTCGAATCGATTAGCATTAAGCAATAGTCAATAAATTAACGATTTGTTTGTAAAACGCACTATATTACTTGATTAATCTTATCTGATTCGAAAGTATTATATATCCAGCCGTTTTAACAGAAATAAAAATCGAATCGATTAGCATTAATCAATACTCAATAAATTAACGATTTGTTTGTAAAACGCACTATATTACTTGATTAATCTTATCTGATTCGAAAGTATTTTTGTTATTACACTTTAATGAGATTTTACGTTATCTTATTAACTTATCAAATACTTGGTTTAGCAGTTATTTCCGATAAATTATTTGAGATATATTCTATAAAGATTTTTTCAACGTGTAGAAACAGAAATCTGAAAATTTAGGAACATTATAATGAATTATACTAAAAACACGTCAATAATTCATAATGTAAAACAGTTTATCACAAATTTATATATGATAGCAATACCACTACAGAATTACGTAGGTATATATCGTATAACAGGTAATATTACGCTTCAACCTACTCAAATGTAGTCTTGGGGACAGAACGAATCGACTGCGCGTTCGCGTTGGTTGACAGTGACAGTAGTTAAATAGTGATTATGATAGGTGAAAGTTGCAATTACTATTTTTAGCGGTGAGAAATAAACATTTCAAAATGAGCAAAAAAGTTTCTTCAGAATTAGAAATAGCCCCGTTAAGGTCTCTGGACGATTTTTTACTGGAAGCTGCACGTTTTCAAATACCGAATGTGAAAGACCTGGAAAAATGGGGCAATCGAGTAACCAGCAACTTATTGTATTATCAAACAAATTATTTTTTGCTCTCGATTATTATATTTATAATTGTTGGGTAAGAGACACGGAAACTACTTTTTATATACCTATAAAATAATAGAAAGTCATGCTCAAAATATGTCTAGGTTAAATATGCATATGTAATTAGATCCAAGTACTGTTAGATTTGTTTATTTCATCTCTCTATGCAGTATACGACTTGAATGTATTTCAAACCCATGTTTAAATTTTTTTTTTAATTGTAGCTCTACCTAGGGGAAATAGATCAGTGATTTTTAATACTAATCATTACTTCCAAAAAAAAAAAAAGGAAAAAAATGTATATATTAAATAAAAAACAGACCAATCAACAATAACATCAACAGTTGATGATCTGATGTAATTGAATACAACAATAAAATTTAGATTTAATCATATTTTCACAATTCTACAAATTGATATTAATCATATTTTTCATAACTTCAGTTAATTTTGAGAGGTAAACCGTGGGGGAATTATGGTGTACACGGGACAGGAATTTATGGGGAAGTCGGGGGAACTCGTGGGGAATTCAGACGAGGTCTGAATTACAGTATAGTTAACATAATTTTTTAAATCAAATAAAAATTATATATAAGCACATTTTCACTAAAATTTCTAATATTTGAATCAAAGTAAGTTCTACAATCCCGAGCATGGGATAAGTTCTACAATCCCGAGTATGGGATGCCCCGATAATTTTCTGTGTTTTTAACCATTAAATTGAAAACGTAATAGTCAATTTCAAATTTCATTTAATAGTTTTGGAGATATCTGCAGAAAAAAAACAAGTTTTTCTCTTATTTTTAATCATACAATGTGCTAGTAAAATATTGAAATCATTTCCCGACAAAAACATTGTTTCATTTTTTAAATGATATAAAACTAGACATGACAATGTAGGGCAATTAAAAAATATACAGTATGGTCGATTAAAAATGAGGCCCTTCTAAAATTTCTTTGGAATACACTTTTTAAATTAGTTTTGTCTATACGGTGTGTCTGATTTTTCATGTTACCACCTCCTTACTTAAGTGGTACTGTTTTTTTTTATGGGGAGGGCCCTGAAAGATCATCGTTTGGCTACTATTGATTTCCCATTACCACAAACGCTTGACCTGTTATGATTTTTTATTTGATAACATTTTTTAGAAACATATGTATGTTCAGGATATTTTATTAAAAAAAGGATCATTGTAGGAACATTAATCTATGTCCTCTAAAACAAAAAAAATATATATATCTGGCTACTTATAACTTAAAAAAGAATGCAAAATAGTTTGTGATGCCATGCAATTAAATACAGAGTACTATAGGACTATTCTACATCTCCTAAAAGAATAGTTGTGTACCAATTCTCAAGAAAAAAATATATTGGTTATTAAATGAGAAATAGATATTTCATTATATGAAAATATATGTTGTTACTGTTATTAATTATTTGTAGTTTTTATTGAACTTTACTGCACAAAACCTTTCAACCATCGAAGTATTTACTTTTTCTTTTTTACTTCAAACAATTGATTCTCCAAGATGTCTTAGATGCCACAAAATTATTTTACTATTTTTAAGTTTATGAAAATGTAGAAAAATAACCAAAAATTATTTTATGAACATAAATTTGATACACAACTATTTTAAGGGACATAGAACAATCCTACGGCATTCGTTCAAAAAAAAAATAATAAAATGGTTTTTCAAAAATGTTCTTCCATATAAAAAATCATAGGCAAAAAGAAATGAATAGTTACCAAATGATAACTTTTCAGGACCTTACCCATTAAAAAATAGACCTGCTTGATTCTGCCAGCCTACTTTTATTTAAAGGGGTGTTAACACGAAGAATTGGACACATTATATAAGTAATCTTCCAGATGTACTTGTTGTGTCAAATTAATAAATTTAGATGGGTATTTCTGGTTCTTAAAGGGCCATACTATACTATATTATTATTTCGTATTTTCCAAATTACAAAACATTATTCATATTTATTCTAATTGATCATTATTAAAAAAATAAAATAAGTAAATCAATTGTTTTTTTCATTTAGTGTTATTCACCCCATAAAAATGGCATGTGGGTTTTTAACCACCTCAGTTATCTTCATGATTTTCATATACGTGACAAATGAAAAAGTTGGAGCTGCACATTTCAAGAGGAATCATCCCATAGCATCTATACTGATCATTTTTGCTGGCGGATACTTTGTCGCTTATATGCTACAGTCCATGGTTGTATTTCTTTTAGGAATCTTGCTGCCATTTGCAAGTAAGTTTTTAACATATTCTATTAAATATATTAAGATAATAACAAATACAAATATATGAAAATTATTTGTATTGTTATATTTTGCACTAGAAAAATATTTATATATATAGCAAATAGCGATACATATGTTGTATTGAATAGCAGGATGTTCATGAGTAGAATATAAATATATTTACCATTTTTGTAGAATGGCGATACTTTAGATTTTTATCAAGTTAGAACGATGCAAACTAAACATTAACGTTGAATAGGGAGCAAGTTTAAATAAACGTGTGTCACATACATATGATTTTGTAAGAACTCTAAGGACACCTGTGCAATGTCGCAATCCTTCGAAAATATTTACGTGTGAAGTTGATACCGTTAAATTAATTAAAACAAATATGCAACATCTCCTTTTATTGCAAGCAAAAGGTGGATCTTAGTATATACCTGTATCCTTAAAATGGCTTCTGTAGTGGTCTGCCTCAAACACGTATGTTTATCAGTGAAAATATATTTTCCTTTATCAAATCATGCTAAAACATTGTCCTATTTTATTTTTCCTGTCTATAGTTTCATATATAGTTATTTTATATATAAGGCAATTTCTTTTGTGGATTTGACTTTCATTGTCTCTCACAGTGTTAGAAATTTCAGTCCAATAAAATCCTATTTTAATAGATTACTTTTAATTCACCCTAAATTACCCTAACATCTATTAATACATTTTTTTCTTTATATGATCTCTAGAGGATTGTATTTTCGTCAGTAATTGTCTACTTTTTTTTCAGTTTCATTTATTCACGCTTCGTTAAGACTCAGGAACATAAAGAACAAAATTGTGAACAAGGTAGAGAATCTTGGCCTCAAAAGGACACCCATGGGGATTTTTCTTGAAGAAATGGGATTGGAAAGCGAACTGTTCTGAAGCAAACGCTTTGCGAAAAAATTATTGCGGTAAATTATTGTCGTTATTTCAGAAAAAAGGTAAAATTCATAAGCGTATTTAGTGATTAACACTATGTTACTAGATGTAACTTTTACACCTCTTGGTGCTACCTTACTACATAATTTATTAGATGTGTTTTGTATTGTCACTTCAAGAACAGATTTAAAAATTTTAAAAACGAAATTGTTATTTGTATTAAAAAATTATTGTCCGGATAAATAAAAGATCTTTCGACTTATTATTATACACACGTATTTTATATGACAGATTGTGTTTAAATGTTTCCTAATTTCTTTATCGATATATTAAATACACAAATTCGTAAAATTTGTCCCTTTCTTATTTTCTTGAATTTTAGTGATAAAGAAATAAGGACAGAACTATAGCTTTATTATATACTTATATTTATATACACACAGTTTTATTGCCTATATTTTATATATTTTACAACTTGTCACTAACGCTAACAGAAACCACTAATCATATATATTTGTGATAAGAATTATTTTCTACCAAAGAATCAATAACTTTTTGTGGTTAAACCACCGTTTATCGGTTCCTATCTTTCATTGGTCAAAAAATATTATTGTTTTTATATACTTAGGTATTTCTGTAATATTATCAAAAGTATTATTTTTCTACAACTGACAAACATTTTCGTTAATGTACAGTATATTTAGCAAGAGCTCATTCTATAAGGGTGTGATATAGGTATTCCTAATAAAAAATGTTTTTCCTACCTACTTCAATAAATTAAATGCTCATAAATTTTTTGCCAAGTTGTTATTTCATAGGTATGAGAATTATATTATAAAATGCAGTTTACTGTTTGATATAAGCTTTATTGTAGAGATTTCATTAAATGCAATTTGTTTTCTACTTCCTATTTTAAATAAACATAAAATTAGCAAATCACGATTTTATTTATTTCAAAATGCCCTGCAAAATAAATATTATTTTCTCTGTGCCAACAACAAATATTGTCAACAAAACAGTCGTTTACTGTAATTCTTTGTAATCACAAATGGATTGTATCAACTTTAAAAAGTTCATGATGCAAAACAGTTTTAAGGTTCGCAATAATGAACAAATTAAATCATGAACGGGGTATATATTTTGTTATTAAGCTATTTCAAAAAATCCACATAGAGATAAAATAAAACTGATTACCTGTCTGTATACACCTTATAAGGCCTATGCGTGTCTGTCATTGAGTTCTCTTGTACATGATGAAGACACAACACAATTAGCTTGAAAGTTGAAGCACTTGGAATACTAAAATTACAAATGACGAAATTCACACTGTAGACAAAAATAAACTCTAAACTGTTAATTTATATATTAAACAGGTAAAAGGTTAGATTTTTAAATAATTGACGGCTAATCCCGGTAAAAACCACAGCAGAACAAAATTGAGGGAAGTAACAAAGTCGAAGTCTATGGCTCAGACCATAGACTATGGTATGAAAGGACTGTCGATCGTCGTTATGGAATGTGCGTTCCGTAATTTAGCTCAGTAGAATTTCATTAAAACGCACTAAAATTTTTGTTGAAAGATTGGCGGCCTTGCTATAGAGAAACTGGGAAACTATGTGCTAATAGTAAATGATTGCTCCGAAATTTGTTAACTAACAACCTTACTGATACGCCATTATTCTATGGCTAGAAATTGGCCTCAATGATTTGGGATCGAGGGGGATTATCCCTCTTTATCCTGCCTCATCTCGTGTAGGCCTGGACAGCCTTCGTAGGTGGGCCCCATCCGTCGTCTACCCCGACCGCAAATGCGGCCGGTGTAGGCGCTTTGTGGGACCTCCTTTTGTCCTGGCTGGGCCCCGCCGGCTAGGGCCCTTTCTTCTGGCGCTCTTCTTGCTTCGCCGGCTCGTCTGTGTAAACCCCGGGGGTAGTGTCATGTTTATGTGTGGTATGGTTGGGTAGGGTAGTGCGGCTATGCAGCCTGGGATGCGCTTTGCTAAGG